ACCCCAGACCCCTCATAGCCCCCCCTTCCGATAGTCCAGCATATCTGATAATCCGGCACCCCTTGGGTCCTAAAGGTGCCGTATTATCGGGAGTTTACTGTACTTAGAAGATATAATGTAAGATTTTAGGCTAGAGCGTACATTCCTGAGCACTGTTCCTTATAAGCAGTGTACTTGTGCAGCCACTTTGAAAAGATTCAAATGCTGCCCAGCTGATTAGTAGAGCACCCACCGCTAGTTTTTTTTGTTTCTACTGGTGGTGCACATTCGCACATGCCTCAGCGCACATAAAAACGTATTCTGCACATTGATGGGAAAAAATCCACACATGGATGGAAAAGATTAGAGGGAACAGTATCCCCTGAGGTAAACAGAAGTCTTCTGAGACAGGGAGAGATGGTTATTTCAACTCATATAGATATCTGCCTAATTTTACAACAGGCTACATAAAAAAATACTAGCAAAATCAGTACAAACTAAAGTTTCATACAGACAATATCCTATTTATACTGCTCTAAATACTATATACACTGACACAAAAGTACAGTATTTATATTTCATTTGATTAATTTTATAATTGTATGGAAAAGAATGAGCAAGTAAGCAATGTTTCAGTAATAGTGTGTTGTGACACTTCTGTATTTTTATGTTTGATTTTATAAGGAAGTAGTTTTTAAGTGAGATTAAACTTGGGGTTACACAAGAAAAATCAGACTCCGGAAAGAGGTACAGTAGGCTTGAAAGTTTGAGAGTCTTTGGCCTAGAGGTCTACCAGCAAGACTGCTGCCTGAAAAGAAATGGCACTAATTGAGCTCTCGAGATGCCTAAAATCTTCACAACCCAATTCCTTCCTCTCCATAACAAAGGTATGAATTGGCTCACCGTGGTCTGCATGGACACAGGGTCCACGCTACTAAATATGATTGTGGGACTTGGCCTACATTTGTACTATATAGATGCTTTGTGGAATGAACTGTGAACATTAATAAATATGGTCTTTTTAAACAATGCAATACAGGCTCACACATAAGGGGAGCAAGACTGAAATAATGGAAGCAAAATGATATTTGGAAATAAGTAGTAGCAAATGTCATGTTCACTCATATTGTGTGATGTAGTTTCTAAAATTGCATACAGTCCCCTTATTCTAATTATTATTATTTATTATATATTATTACCTGTATTGCTGATCTTAATTTTAGAACATTAATTCTCTGCTTGATAATCTGAGTGTTTTTTATGTAGATTTTAAAAAAAAGGAAATACATGCATTTGCAAACCATATATCAATCCATTTGTCACTAACATTGTGATTGCCATCCATAAAATCAAAGCCCTGAGCAATTTTGATCAACTTCACTGAAGTATTTGGTAAAGTGTTTAATAAACCATTTAAAAAAATGTTTAAGACCTGTTAGTTGAATGGGAGTTTTGCTGACTGTAAAATCCTTAACAAGTATATTGCACAATAGAATATTATTCCAACCAAAGGTCTTGTATCAGAGTGGATTCCCAAGGTGCAATTTTGTTTGAAGCAAACCTCAGACCCAAACAACCCCAGGAAGCAGATGAGCTATGGAGGGAATGCCACTGGTAAGCTAGGGTGTGGACATAAGGCCAGAATACTGCCACTTCACACTCCTGCTGATGGCTGAGATCAGGATAGCTACGTATTCTGGTCAGAACTATTGATCACCTACTTTTGGAGATGTCAGCCATTACAAAGCCCAATCCAGGGCAGGGATTGCAGACAGATCCAGAAAATCTGGCCCATAAAATCAAATGATGAAAAGCCATGTTTTAAGAAACTGTGCAAAGCAAATGAACAAAGCACAACAAAAATTATTTTCTCAACAAAATCTGTATTCTATCGATGGTCAATTGTGCTCACACCTTATATTATTATGTGCATGCTGCAGAGCTGTATAACATATGTTTCTAGGGACTGTTTCTCTGTTGAATGGTTATATACCCTTTGGCATTCAAGAACTTGAATAGTACTGTTGTCTTCTATTGCACATGTATTTATAAAGGCTTGGTCAATGCAGTAAAGCTTTCAGTCCTACCAGAGCTTCCTATGATAGCGAGCATCTGGCCACTTTGAACTTTAAAATTCAGATTCTGGATTGCTGACACATGGCATTCTGGGCCTCTATTCCACATCCAAGGCATTTTTAGTTCTGCTAAGTTCTCGTACCAGGGAATCTGAGATGCCATGTTAACCTGATTTAAATAAATAAAAAATAAAAAGGTCTTGCATTCAGAAAGTCAATACTGTAGCAATAAGTACTTGGCAAGTGAAATCATTACAAAGCTAAAAATACAGGAAAATAGCTGCAACCAAACTGGTGCAAATTCTCAAAAGTATATTTATTTAATTCCATTTGCTAGCCATGCACTGATTCCATATATTCTTTCTTAATAATTTTTGATTATCAAATAGCTGCCTAAAATAAAAGATACTGTGTTTGTTTGGAAAAGCAAATACTGTCCTGCCACTTATCAATAATTACACGCAAAGCATTAAGGCTTTGCAAGCTGAATTTCTCCTTGTTAAATCAATGGGCGTGATTTGTGAGGTCTGCTGCAGCTACATAGTGAAGGGTATGCATGTGTTCATTTTAAACAAAATGTGGTTTGAAAGTAGATATGCATAAAGAAGCATGCTGTGGCTCACCACCCTAGGAACAGTCTCGAAAAGGCCAAGAGGAGGGGGGCGAACTCAACATGTGGAGTGGAGAAGTACAAGCACGTGACAAACAAAGCCATATATGGAAAGGTTGAATATGATTGGTTTAGAAGTTTGTGTTATATAACTTATGTAACCTGTTATGTAACTGCCATGTGCTATAAAACAGCAAGGGGAGGGGCTCCTTGCTCGAGGGGCTCTGGCTGATTTTAGTACCAGGGGCTCTCCCTTTGTGCACATTGAATAAAGTCTTGTTGAATTGAATTGAAGTATTGAAGACCCTTGATTCTGCCCAGCACCCGACTCTCCAGGAACCACAAAATCCCAACAGTTTCTTTGCACAGCGAGCAGGGTGAGAAATATCCTTCAGGATCAAGACCTACAATCAAATTAGAGGGTGATTTTGTTCATTTTTCATTTGGTTGTGTGTCCCTGACCTGACTGGTGACTCTCATACCTTTTGTAGTAAGTGAATCTGGGTGTTGGGGAATTTAAGGGGTTTGTTAAAGTTTTGAAACATTTTGGTTGCAGTCTTAAGACTCTGTATTTAGTGTGGGGGTGGGTTAAGCTGTAAGTTCCTCTGACTAAGTGTTGTTGAAGTGGGAAATCAAAGAGGCCATAAGGACCAACAGTTAGTGTAGGGGCAGGTATAGCCATAAGTATCTCTAGTTAATGTGTTGGCTGGCCCAGATCTCCTAATTGCAAATTGTTATTAGTTTGTAAACATAATTGTATTTAAAGATTTTGAGATTGGAGGATATTTAGGTCAAAAAAAGGGAAAGATGAGGGATATAGTGATCCACAATATGAAGAGTGTTTAATTAGTGCTTTTATAACTATTGTAGCAATAAGTTTATTAGTTTTCTTGTTGAGATATAACCGCAAAATCCCAACAGTTTCTTGGCGCAGCGAGCAGGGTGAGAAATATCCTTCAGGATCAAGACCTACAATCAAGTTAGAGGGTGATTTTGTTCATTTTTCATTTGGTTGTGTGTCCCTGACCTGACTGGTGACTCTCACACCTTTTGTAGTAAGTGAAACTGGGTGTTGGAGAATTTAAGGGGTTTGTTGCAGTTTTGTAACATTTTGGTTGCAGTCTTAAGACACTGTACTTAGTGTGGGGGCGGGTTAAGCTGTAAGTTCCTCTGACTAAGTGTTGTTGAAGTGGGAAATCAAAGAGGCCATAAGGACCAACAGTTAGTGTAGGGGCAGGTATAGCCATAAGTACCTCTAGTTAATGTGTTGGCTGGCCCAGATTTCCTAATTGGAAATTGTTATTAGTCTGTAAACAGAATTGTATGTAAAGATTTTGAGATTGGAGGATATTTAATAGTAGAGTTACTACTACTGCTACTGTTAGTCGCCTAGAGCACACTCTTATGAGTCCATCTGACTTGCGGAATTGCCATCTTTGCAGCTTAATAACCCAAACCTATCCTTCTGGGAAAAGGTGCAGGAGTGGATGGTAGTGGGAGGCTTACCTGCTTTTGATGTTTTCACCATGGTAAAAGCAAAATGTCCTGTGCACCCTGACAGTCAATTTTTGTTTGCATTTACTGTTAAAGGGAAGCAATATACTTTTACTCGCCTAAGCCAGGGTTTTCATAACTCACTTATTTTGTTTAATAGAGAATTAGCTGATGTGCTGGCAAAGCTGCCAGACACATGGCTTCTTGTGTTGTACAGTATGTTGGTGATCTTCTTATCTCCTCACCAGATCGCCAAATGCACATGAAAGACTTAGAAGTGACAGTAGGGTAAAATGTAATGCTAGAAAGGCTCAGATTGCAAAGGAGGAAGTATCATATCTGGGTTACCTAATATCCAAAGGGTACAAGCGTTTAACTGTTGACCGCACTGAGGCTATTAATGCATGCCGATGACCAACTACGGTCAGGGGAGTTAGGAAAGTGTTGGGGCTATTCAATTTCTGCTGAACTCAAATCCCCAATTATTCAAGGATTGTCCAGCCCCTTAACAATCTCCTGAAGGGTGCTGGTGGACCACATGAGGCAATTGAATGGACACTTGACCGTGAACAGGCATTTACCCCACATTGAAACAAAGGCTAAGTACTGCCCCAGGGTTGGGACTTCCTAATCCATTAATGCCTTTTACATTGTACACGCATGTCAGTGAGGGACATATGGCAGCAGTGTTAACGCAAAAACATGGGGACAAACAGGGCCCAATAGCATACTATTCTTCTAAACTAGATGCTGTCGCTCAAGCAATGCCACCATGCATCCAGGCAGTGGAAGGAGCTTCTATGGCCCTAAATCAGGCCACACCACTTATTGGTGCGCAGAATGTAAATATTGTTGTACCTCACGCTGTCCTTGCTATTTTATGAGGGAAGAAATCTTCAGCAGTCCATGTGGCAAGATGGACTCGATGGGAAACGAGCTTGCTAATGCCTTCGGTACATCTGCAAAGAGCATCATCATTAAACCCTGCCACCCTCATGCCTACCCCAGATGAGGGACACCCACATTATTGTTGCCTTGAGGAAGAGCCCATGGACCTTCCATTGGTAAAAGAAACTGAAATACCTGGTGCCCCTTGCCTATACGTGGATGGTTCTTCCTTCTATGTGGATGGCAAGCGACACACAGGATGGGCCGTTTGTACTCAAGATGGACAGCTGGTGGCACGGCAGTTTACCCGGGGCATCTGCACAAATAGCAGAACTACAGGCATTAGTTGCAGCATGTGAAGCTGCGAAAGGTCATGCTGTAAACATATGTACTGATTCTAGATATGTGTTTGGGGTTGTACATGATTACATTAACTTGTGGGTAAATCGGGGATTCCTGACGAGTACAGGATCCCCAATACAAAATGGGGGAATAGATGAGAAACTTCATGCAGCCATGCAGAAACCTACCGAACTAGCAGTGATAAAAGTGAGGGCCCACACAAAAGGGACAGACCCTCATAGTAAGGGGAACCGAAGGGCAGACAAACTAGCTGAACAAGCAGCAGTGGAAGGTAAAAAGACGTAATTGATTGCTACATCACAGCTTCTCATAAAAACCCCAAAATTTTTTGAATTACAGGACATCCAACATGCAGCACCAAGGAAAGAGAAGTGGTTATGGATGGATAATGGGGGCAAACTGTGTGATGATAACACTTGGAGAGGCCCAGGAAACACATTAGTGTTACCAAATGTGCTGATGTGAACTATGATACAAATATATCACATGTTGGGACATGATGGAGAACGGAGGGTGATCCACCGGATGTCGGACACCTGGTGGCATCCTAAGCTTAATGCAAATGTGCATGATTATGTGAGGAGGTGTGTAACATGCTCAATGTAATTCTGCTCCCACAGTGAAAGTGAGAATGCGACATCAGCCAAGACCAACACAGCTACACACAGTTACAAATAGATTTCATTGGACCCCTGCCAAGGTGCAGAGGGAAAGAATATGTTCTGGTGATCGTGGATCACTTTACTAAGTGGGAGAAGCTTTCCCAGTGGCCAAGGCCACTGCGTCTGATGTAGCTAAAATACTGATGACTGAAATAATTCCCCAATGGGGATTTCCATGCTTCATTGATAGCGACCAAGGTACCCACTTTACAGGAAAGGTGATGAAAACGGTATACATGGCACTGGGGATCAAACAGAAATTCCACTGTCCCTACCATCCCCAGAGTTCGGGATTAGTAGAAAAAGCTAAGCGAACTATTAAAAACAAACTAACCAAACAGATGTTTTCTGCTACAGGGAAAGACTGGGTCACCAATTTACCGGTGGTTCTCATGTCTGTGAGATCCAGTCCTACTAATCCACATTCCTTATCTCCTTTTGAAATGCTGACAGGGCGGGCGATGAGGACTCCAGGAAATCTGTGCATTGGAGCGGGGGAGTTGTATGTCATGGGTGACCAGCTTGCTGAATATTGCAAATTGTTATCTCAGTGTGTCTCACAGGACCCCCAAACTGAACCTGACCCAAAGGCTAGCGAAGAAGACACATGTGAGGTGCAGCCCGGTGATCAGGTACTGGTGAAAGCCTATAGTCCCTGAACTGAACCAGACCCAAAGGCCAGCGAAGAGGACATGTGTGAGGTGCAGCCCGGTGATCAGGTGCTGGTGAAAGCCTATAGAAACTTTGAACCAGCCTGGACTGGACCTCACATAGTTCTCTTGGTAACTCCTTCAGCGGCCCGGGTCACCGGAATTCCAGTTTGGGTGCACCTGTCACGAGTAAAAGTATACAAGGGTGACACTCAACATAGGGCACAATAATCTCTGTTTACCCTATGGACTCCTTGAGGGCCATTCTCAATATTGTTAAGTGTTTTCATTTGATATTCCCCGTTTAAAATCAATGTAGGAATTATTTGTGATCTACTAATTGTTTTGAGTGGTTTCTGAGACTTGAAAGTTCTTTTAGAGGTCTCATCTTAATAATGCTGCCGTGGCTTTCAGTGTTTTATTGATGGAGTTGGTTAGGTTCTCACTGTTGTACTCAGCCATCTATTAAAAACTACTAAAATGTATGAGCAAGCATTGGTCTGGAATGGTATTATCATACTGGCATGGTGTTCAACATGAAAGTTGCAGCCCTGATAGGAGACTTGCTTGTGTCACAGGTGCCCTGTTGGGTGAGAGCCACAGTTCTCAAAGACTGAATGTCTTCACCTTGGATGATGGCAGGGACATGGTCTCTATTGATAATGGCATTTTGGAATGATCATTCCATCTTTGAAGAGGTCTTAATTTCTGTGGGTTGGTCTCCTGGATTGGAGGCTCAGCCCTTCCACCCACTCCCATTCTCATGTCATAGACACCTGTGTAGCTGAGTGTGTAATAATGGCTGGAGATAACTATATAGCTTTCCCATGGGACCAATGTTCCATCCTGGGAGGATGGATTTTGCATATAAGAAACATGGAGTCAGGACAAGCCCTATCTCAAATGTTGGGACCTGACTTAATGGTGCATGTAATGTTTAATTTAATGGATGATATAACAGTGAAGAAAGACTCCACTACCTGGTGTGGAATTGGGTATTTAGCTTTGGAAGGTAAGCCTGGCTTGAACATCTCGTTCTTCCTATTGTGGAAGATATTATGAAAGAAGTGGTAAGGCAATTACAGTGATTCAGTGGATAAAAGAGTTTGCTATTGTGGGAACAGAGATTCCCTGGGGATGGATTTCAGTTGTGTTTTCGCAATGGATATGGGGACTTATTATTACTTTTAGTGTAGATATCATTATGTATTAAAGGTTGAATGTATTGTTTAATTCTGTTACCAAAACTGCAGTTAAGTGTTGATAAGGTCAATTATAGCTCCTAATAAATACAAGGAAGTGGTGTTAGTGGGGGTCTAAGAATTGTTCTTAGCCCCAAAACCAAATGGGGGAGCCGAAGGATATGCTTGTGTTCATTTTAAACAAAATGTGGTTTGGAAAGTAGATATGCATAAAGAAGCATGCTGTGGCTCACCACCCTAGGAACAGTCTAGAAAAGGCCAAGAGGAGGGGGGTGAACTCAACATGTGGAGCAGAGAAGTACAAGCATGTGACAAAGCCATATATGGAAAGGTTGAATATGATTTGTTTAGAAGTTTGTGTTCTATAACTTGTTATGTAACCTGTTATGTAACTGCCATGTGCTATAAAACAGCAAGGGGAGGGGCTCCTTGCTCGAGGGGCTCTGGCTGATTTTAGTACCAGGAGCTCTCCCTTTGTGCACATTGAATAAAGTCTTGTTGAATTTAATTGAATTGAAGTATCAAAGACCCTTGATTCTGCCCAGCACCTGACTCTCTGGGAACCACAAAATCCCAACAGTAGTATTTTGCAGCTCTCTACTCAGCCTAGGGTATGTTCCTGAGAGAAAGGCGACATAACCAGGACATCCCTTCACCCTTGTGATCCCCAGTTGCTAGAGTAGCCCCTTGGATTTTGGTCATCTGGGTGTAACCTCCAGCTGCCCTGAGCCTGTTCCAAATCTAGGGAACATGATAGCAGCTGTCCTACCCCTTCATTATGTGAAGTCTATCTCTGCTGCAACTGAGGGCCTAGCCCACCATTTAAAATGTAGCTAAGGACCTGATCCTGTACTTACCACGCACCCCAAACTTCCATGGCTTCAGTGATGTTTGTGTGTGCAACTGCAAGATGACGTCTCAGTTGCTATATGTAATTTAACTCAACTTTACCTTTTATCTCTCTCTATAAATATATTAAAAAATTTCCTGCAAGACAACAGAGTGATGTGTTGACATCACTCTCTGTCACCCTGTCCCCTAGCCTCCACAGAGTCAGAAGGGGAAAAGGCAGCCATAGCTCAGGGTTCCCCCTGGTCCCTCCTTGGGGGGGCCCTGGGTTCCCTGCTGTCCCCTGCAGGAGGGACAGGGGGCAGTGGCAGTGGTGGGGAGCTGCCACCACTGCCTGCCTGGCCTGCCTGATGCTCCAACGTCATGTCCCCCATCTTCAAGATTAGAGCACCAGTACTGGCTTCCTGCGGTGTGGGGGAGGAGAAAGCTCCAAGGCTTCGTGCCAGATCCAGCCTCTGGGGAAGCATGCATTCTGCTTTGGGGAGGTGAGCTGCCAGGACACTGACTGTCCGGGGAGGGTTGCTACAAAGTTTGCCTCTGAAGTTAATTTGGGCCCCTGTTAGAGCTCCCTGGCCAGCCCAGTCACACGCACCAAGACTTTTGGTTTTGTCCTCGTGTGCTTCTTGGAGCACTGCTCTCCCCCACTGCTCTTCACTGGGCCCAGGTGTAGCAGGGGAGAGGGCATTGGAGAGACAGGATAACGAGCAGTCCCCGTGCATGAGGTGGAGATCGCAGAGCCAACCGGTGGGGGCCAAAAGGGAAAGTTCTCTCCCGAGAGAGGAGTCTCTGCGGCCCGAGGTGCACCTGCATTCACCACCCCAAGAAGAGGCCAGTCCTGTCTCTCCGAGCCGCCTGCTGCAGGCCGGGGATGAAGTCCCCACATGGAGAAGGGAGACACCCTCCAGCAGCTGCTCTCCCCTCCCCCTTTGCCTGCCTAGGTGCTTCTGCTGTCTGGCTCTAGCAATCCACACATTCTCCCTGGGCACCAGCTACCTCCTGTCCCAGGCTGGCCAGACACCCTGTCCCCAGCCTGGGGCACCAGCTACCTCCTGTCCCAGGCTGGCCAGACACCCTGCCCCCAGCCTGCTCCTGCCTCCTCACCCCAAACAGACACCTTGTCCCCAGCCCACTCCTGCCCCTTTTCCCCTGGCCAAATAGCCTGCCCCACCCTCCATCTTGGACACCCTGCCCCAATCCTGGCGCAGGCCCCGCGGTCCAGCTGCCATCTGGCCACAGCAAGGGTTGGTGGCAGCCCCCCTCCTGCTGATCAGGCTGTGGTGGACAGATGGGGGGTTGGCGAGTGTAGCGATCAGGGGGCACAGCCCTGTAGTAGTATCTAAATATTGCAAACAGGAAATTGTTGTATGCATTACATAATATAAGTGATTATATTGTATACAGTATAATACAACATAATATAATGCAAGAGATAGCGATCCTTGTACCTGGTAGTTGAGTTCTTTGACCTCTAGGACATTTGATTTGCCACTGTATGTGAAATACATACTGTTATCCTCTTCAGAGCAAAAAATACTGTCTCTGAACCTCCTCTGTCTCTGTAGAAATTATTAGAAGGATAATTACAACTCGCTTATTTTTTAAATGCTGTTAAAATTACAGTTTAGAGGAAAAGGCAGCAAGGGAAATGTTTTCGACGTGTAATAACTGTACAATGTATTAGTTACCATAGCACAAAATGTAAAGAGTTTAAATGAGTTGTCTCTCTCTAGTCACTAGAAAATTACCCAGAACTAGAGGGGTGCGAACAATTAAAAAAACCCAAATATGCAGTGGGCTTTTAGTTCATTTCCTTGTTTGTCTGGACTTGAAGATGTCCATTTTCAAAATGGAAATGGATCCAATTTCATTCCAGTTTTAAAATGGGTCCCATTTTGAGCAAAAATACATAAGTCTTAAAATTTTTGTTTTTACCTTTTCCTTACTTAGTTATGCAGGTCCTCTTTAGCCTAAGCAGGCTTCAGCCTTAAGCGGGGTGGAGAGAGCCTGCATGCATGCAGTTGTTACTTCTGACTCCATTTCCCCCACAGAGTCTCCTTTGAGGCATGGGCCGAGTTTCCATCCAGTCTTTATTCTCCATTCCATCCCTTGCTCTCTCTCTGTCATCTTCAAGCCCCTGCATTTGCCCTTGATCTGGGCAGATCAGTTTATTCCTCTCCAGTCTAACCCTGTTTCAGCCAAACATGGGTTGGCGGTGAAGCTTCAAAGGACTCCATGCATGTATTGTCTTTAGAATGTTTTAATGGCCTTAACAAAACTAACCAACTGTCTGTACTTTCTGCATTCAACCAAACTTTATCTCAGGTCTAACTTAATCATTTGAGCTGATAGCAGTGCAAAACAGAACACGTAAACCAAGGCACATATTATTCATAGAAATAATACAGAAATCTCCCACAATTGCTTTCAAACAGCAGCTTATTATAAAAGTATATTAAAAGTCACTTTCTATATAGTAACACTCCCAAGCAAATGCAGTTAATTTTAATATTTATATGGCCCATACCATTCATATGTGAGTGCTTTTGCATGTGAATGCATTTATCCTGCCTGCACACCTTTTTACAGTGTGGAAAGTTATATTATCCCTTCTTTTACAAATGGGAGGACTAAAGCAAAAGTTCATACAGGAAGTCTGAGGCAAAACCCATAACAGAACCCAGATTTCATGTGTCCCATTCAACTGCCTTGACCATAAGTCTATGCTGCTTCTCTAAGGGCTTTATATTGTCTTCATTCCATATTCATATGCAGATGGAGGACACTATATATCAAATCCAATTTGCTGTTCATTACATGTAATGCTAACTGCAGTTTTCAGGGGTTTCCCCTTCAGTTCCTATGAACTCTACTCACCGAAAAATCCTGCTCTGTAACTTGGCTCCCAATGGTATGCTCCAATGGGACTTTTTCAGTCATTTCTTCCATAGTTGTGGTGGAACTTTCCATATTGCCACTTTCTTTTCTGTTTTTAAATACTGTGGAAATCCTTTTCCTCTTGGCTTTGAGCTTGACCCCCTTCAAAGCCCTCACCAAAACATAGCTGGTGTTTCTCCTAATATCCTGGGTCTCTCTGGTCTACTTGTCTCTGTAGATAGGGTAATGTTCTCCTTTACTGGAATAATAACAGCTCAGGCTAAAGGTTAATCAGATAATAGTTATGGCTAATCTATCAACTGTGCTTGGAAAGAAAAAGCAAACTGAGAGCAGCAGCCTTCTGTAGAGTAATTTCCTGGGTGTAGAAATTAGTCTGGGTCCATGACTGATCCTGTGGACGACTGACAGAGTGAAGCTGCACACCCTCTTCATTGCTGCAGTAGCCATTTGGTGGCTGAGTGTTTGTCTGAATTAACTGATTTACCAGCTTGTTGAAAGGGTGATTTAAGAAAAGTGTCCAGTCTGCCTGAGCATGAGCCAGCCTACTACAATGGAAAGGAGTGGCTGGGGTTCCGGAGGAGAAGAAAGAAAGTCTGTTGTGTCTTCACGTAACAGTGTCAGCATCCAGGGGCTCTCCTACACAGTCAGGTAAAGCTAGTAAGAGCCAGCAAAGTAACTGGAACTCTGCAACGGCATTACTCCTTGGATCACAGGGATAACTTTACTTTACTTTATAGAATAACAGTAAGAGGATAGACCCTCATCTTAGTCCAGTGAAGGGCCACACCAAGGATGAATTTGGCCTTATCTGTTTAGACTAGATTCTCCTGAGAGTAAGGATTGATTCTGCTTTCTGAAGATTTAATAAGTGGTTCTTTAAAGGCAAGCTCCAAAGAAAACTAAAATCAGGCTTGTATCTTTTTTGCTTTCTTATCTATATATCTATATATTTTAGAACGCGTCTGTCTGTCTGCGTGTCTGTCTGCGAGTCCGTTTGTTCAGGAGCTCCTAAATGGTAAGAGCTAGGGCCACCAAATTTAGCAAGCAGCTTCCTCCTCTCCTAATTTAAAGGAAGGTCAGGGTTTGGCTGTGCCTGGGGGAAAGAGACAGTATTCTGTAACATGCAAAGGGAGGGGCTGCTTTCAGAGGAACGCGATACACGAGAGGACACTGGGGAGAGCGAGCCCACAGGGAGAGCTATTTTGCAGAATGTCAGCTGAGGGCAGCCGTACCACCAAGGGAGTGGCTAGCAGGGGTCCTTGGGCTCCACCATCTTGCCTGCAAGCAAACTGGGTAAGTAGCCCCTGTGCCCAAATCCCTTTTTTCCCTCCCAGCCGCTGGCTGCAGGACTGGTGGGTGGGGGAGAGAGCAGGCCCTGGTGGCTGAGGGATCCTGGGGAGGGAGAGAACAGGGACTGGGTGGGCTGGGGGCTGGCATGGAGTGGGAAGAGATCTGGTCCTGGACAGGCTGGGGGGGAAGTGACATAGATGTGGAGAGAAGAGGCCACAGGTAGGTTGGGGGGGGGGGCCTTGGGAGAAGAGAACAGGCCCAGGATGGGCTGGAGGCTGGCCTGGATGGGGAGAGAACAGGCCCCACGTGGCCTGGGGACTGGCATGTGGAGGGGAAGGGGGGCAGAGAACAAATCCCAGAGGGACTGGGGTGCTGGCCTGGAGGGGAGAGAAGAGGCCCTGGATGGGCTTGGGAGGAATGGAAGTGGGTGGGGAGAAAACATGCCTCTCCCCCACATCCCCAAACCTCTGCCCGGAAGGACCAGGCAATGCTAGCTAGTCTCTGCTATGTCTGCTAGTTTCTGTCTATATTTTAGAGTGTGTCTGTCTGTGTGTCCGTCTGGGAGTCTGTTTGTTCAAGAGCTCTTCCTATACCGTAGGAGTTAGGGCCACCAAATTTGGTATACATCTTCCTCTTCTCCTAACTTAAAGCAAGGTCAAGGACTGACTGTGTCAGGGCAACCAGAAGCCCTGAGAAAAGCATTGTTTTCCATAACATGAAAAGGGAGGGGCTTCTGTTTGGAGGGATGTGATATGAGACTGGCCACTGGGACAGCGAGCCCTCAGTGGAGAGCTATATGGCAAAAGTGTCCACTGGTGGTAGCCATGCCACCAAGGAATGGCTAGAAACCAG